AATTAATATTCATGTAAAGTATCTAGAATTTCTAGTGCTATTCTACCTATGGATCGAGTTTCTATACAATATTGATCAACAACAGAAGAATGTAGAGCTTTCGAAAACATAATGTAAACGACACTAGATAAGATCTCCTTAGGCAACAGGAACAAAAGAAACAGCAAGAAATTCAGCCAACGACCTCTGTGTTTGTGTCATCAGACGGCCATATCACAGTCTCAATGAGGCGTTCGCGCATCAACTCCAAATTCTGATCGGAGATCCTTTTGTACATTGCAGCATGATCACATTTCTGAGGGGAAAAAAAGCACGAAAAACAATTACAAATAAATTCCTCGCGTCCCACTCAACTTGACAAAGAAAATGTTTTAAAATTCTCGTACCTTTATCCATTTTCCATACAGGTTAAGGCGTGTAACCATTACTCTTTCAGCAAGCTCGTGCTTCTCCTGTGAAGATGATAAATTTCAAATAATTTATGAGGTTTGAGAAGGGGGCGGGTTGTTAATGTAAGCAAGAACCTTTCTTTACCTTCCCAAGGTTACGAAGGAAGCGCTTTCCATAACCATGCTCATTAGTTGCAACATAACTATAAGATCAGCAATATTAACCAATTAAACCTTTAGATAAAAGGCAGGCTATGTCGTGTGTATATTATAGATTGAAGGACAAAAATGGTCTATGTTCCTTGGCCTTAATTGTTAGAGTGAGAATATAGGAAAACTAATAGTTCGACTAATATGCAAGAACAACTTACTTACTCATAAAACCATCGGTATTGTGTAGGGTTCATCTCATAAAGCTGGTTTAAGACAGTCCGCACGGCTTTGTAAGTGAAATAGTTGAGAATTTGCTGCAAGAAAAAACAATTTCCATCAACCTACAAACTACCGATTATTGACTGCTCAGTTAATTGCAGAATTGCCTCTAGACCTTAGCCAGATAGAACCCCCGAGGGCATTCAACTTCATCTACCCATTTGGCAGAGCTTCTGCTTTTGCTTCGACTTGTCAAAAAACTTTTAAGGAGCCTATTAGGCCAGTTTATTCTAAAAACTCTTCTAATCGGACAATATATTTTTAGAAAATCATTTAAACATGTTAAAAAAAAAACTTCTTAATCTTCGAAGTAATTTTTGCCTTACCAATACTGGATATATGAAGCACTTGATTTTTACTTACTTTTCTTCCATAATCACGTCCAACATGTCAAACGTGCATAAAGTATAGTTGTAATGACAACAATTATCTTGGGAACATCCAAAATCTAGTCATTATAGAGACATTTCGCTACTAGAGGAAATCATTATTAGGGAACCGATGTGTGTAACATCTAAGTGAAGGGTACACGCTTCATCAAAGTCACTGGTTTAAAAACCATACATATACACGCGCTCTAATTACCAAACCCATAATAACAACGATCCTCTCCTCCACAAAATTTGAGTGGCTCTCAAGCAAAATCTATGTCCATTCCTATCCAATTCGCAAATCTCGTGGATTAGAGTCCCTTTTTCATTTCCTTACTTTCTTCAAATAAATAAGGAAGACAATTTCTTCATTTGACTTTATCTCTGCAATAATAGTTTCTTCAAATGTTCATTTAAGAGCAATATAAAGCAAGCATTCGTGACTCTTACCATATTTAGCTCCACAATGACCCTTCAAGTCGGCTACGTGAATCGTTTCTCATCACCCCGACGCACTAGATCCAATCTAAAGCAACAACAGGCCAAATGCTACCCCTGCTAGCATGTTCTACCATTTTAGTTCTAAAATGAACATCAATTTTATAGAAACAACCACGAACCAAAACCTCATTCTTTATAAATTTAGGGTCAGCTAGATGAATCCTTTTTCATCACCCCACTATGTTCGTCACTAGATCCAGTCTAAAGCAACTACAACAGGCTAAATGTTAGGTAGTTCTATCCCTGCTAGCAAATTCTTCAATTTTATCANTCACTAGATCCAGTCTAAAGCAACTACAACAGGCTAAATGTTAGGTAGTTCTATCCCTGCTAGCAAATTCTTCAATTTTATCAAACCAGTTTAAATCATGTAATAAAGATAAAAGGCTACTGCAATATTTCATCCGGAAATCCCCAAAAAATATATAAAAGATGGAAAGATAATTGTAAATTTCTTACAGAGGTGACATCTCCAAAATTGTCTTCATACTGTCCAGCCAATTCATCCACAATCACACTCCTCATTCTCCTTTGTTTTTTGAAATTCTTGGTGACTGAAAGAGCCTTCACTGAAGAATAATCAAGAAATGAGCTGCTCAAAGCCAATGAACCTGGACGAGGCCTATGCTTTCTACCCATTGAATTCCTAGGAAAAATCCAATCTCCCCTCCTCAAATTGCTTGAAGGCATCACATCCAAACACAGGCATGAACAAGTATGAGAATCAACCATTGATGAACCCAAAACAGAAAAAGCCCCCACCATTCTTATTATAACACAAAATTCAGCCTAGAAATATGTTTATAAGAAAATTTGGGACAACCCAATAAAGAAAAATCGAGAATACTAGCTGGGTTGTCCAAGAAAACTGGAGATTTTTGAATATTAGACGATTGAAATTCAAAGAGACGTGTGTTTGCAGCAAAAGGGCTCTCAAATTTGGAATTCGAGACGTGATTAGTGGAAAAATGCTAAAGAGGAAAATTGCAATTTTGTGGGGTTTGTTGAACTGCGACCAGAATAATTTGTGAGGCCTGAATTTGTCCAACCACAAGATTTGTACTTTGTTGTGAACACAACATCTGGACGGTGGTGTACTGGATGGTTCTTCCAATTTGGTGGCTCTTTCGCCACGTATGAGAATCCTGTAGAACTGTAATGAACGTAAAAATGTGGCACAGAGAATTCTATGTGCATCGGCCATCGGGACTGCACCTTGGCCTTGCAGGATCATTTTGCTTGCACAGTTGCACGTGACTATTACTTAGGCACCTCCTAAAATTATCCAAGTCCAATATTATTAGGCACCTTCAAATTGTCATTATTTTTATATAGATGTTTCCAGCCTTCAAGTTTTAAAGTTTTTTTAGTTGTCATTGAAGTTACCTAAATGGTACTCCATCGATCACTACGTCACTCGTTGATTTGAAAATGCAATCAACTTATGATTTTGGTGACATGACACACACTAACGTGATAACATGTCACCTAGACAGCCCTCTTCGGCAGATTAAATTTCTATGATCAGGACTTATCCAAACTAAATGGATGACCCGATCTATGTATCACGCTTGAACAAATCTTCATTAGGACCCTTAACTCGTTTGATCTATTCATTGTTTTTATTGCTTTTATTTACTTTGAGAGCATTGCCATACTTTATCATTTGTTAAAGGTCAAGTCTATACCCTCCTCCATAATGTATTTTTTTCACTTATCAATAAAATTTTGTTTAAAAAAGTTCAAGTAATAGAGTAATGGAATAACAAACACAATAACATTTTGGTAGATTGAGTGGCAAGTCGAAATTTTATTTTATTATTATTTTTTTTTTTTTAAGTTCAATAGCAATGGAGAAACATATAGGAAAAAATCATTTACAACTCGAAAAGCTTTTGATGTTCAATGACAATTGGGTAACATTTGAGAAAGTTCAACTGCAATTGAGAAATTTTTTACATGTTTTTAAGCTAGACCCCAAACGTAACAATGTGGATGGACAAGAGAGGTTCCTAGTTGTAAATAGGGTAAGGCAAATCTCCCGAACCGAACTAAACTAAACCCGACGGTTCTTGTCAAATTAAATACCCGAACGGGTATGTGAATTGAGAACCGACGGGGACGATTCGGTTCTCGGTTCTAGATTAAGAACCGAATCTTTCTAATTTTTTTTATATTGAGTAAATCAAATTATTTTAATTTTAATTTTTTCTAAACAAATTAATAAATTAACAATTTCTAAATCCAAATTTTTGGCCCAATAATTTGTTTCATTTCTAATTTTTTAATTTTGGCACAATTACCCATTTTATTGTTTCATTTTTTAGCCTAACAAGGTCCAATCTACTAAATAACCATAAATACCTACACTAAAGTGCATAACGTTGTCTTGACTCTCGCAGCTTCACTAACATTCCAAAACCTATATAATCGTCAGCTGACGCTGTGACCTCCGATCGAAACTGTGACATCCGCCGACCGAAACTTTGACCGTAGCGATCATTTGAATAAGGTAGTCTACTAGTCTCTGACATTCCAAAATCATTGAATGTATCACTAGTTGTATTTATATAATGTTGTTATAAATGTTAAAAAATTTAATTATAGTACAGAACCGAATGGAACCGAACCCGAACCCGAACGTTCCATAATTATATTTAGACCCGACGGTTCCATTTACTATATACCCGAAAATTTTGGTTCGATTCGGTTCTCTTTAGAATCGAACTGAACCGAACCGACCCGCGCCCACCCCTAGTTGTAAACAAACGAAAGTTGTGGACCTTGAGTTGGATCGCGATGACTAGAAAAATACTAAGATGGTGGCCCTTGACATGGTGGACATCTGGGAGTTTGATGGAGCATAGTAATCCTCCTTTGCCTGAGGAGGGGAGACAAATGATTGTTTGCTTATTGGGTAATACACGATATGGTACTTTGTTTGAAGAGGAATTGTTGGAAAAGAGTAAATAAATTGCTTAAGGGGGAATCCACGATATGGTACTTTGTTTGAAGAGGAATTGTTGGAAGAGTGTAAATAAACTTTTTACATTGGTTTGACATGAGGTAAATAATGTATTCCATCTAATAAATTAATCATTTAAGATAAAATCTCATTTCCCTACCCCCACCTATTTAATTTATGAACATAATCGGTCAAATTTACTTTTTATCCAAACTTTTATTACATATTAGTTTCTGTCACGTGCGTTGCTCAAGTTTTGTATTTATTTTGTTGTTATTCGTGTGGAATTTGTAGATTTTACAAAAAGTATTTGAAGATGTGAAATTTTTGCTTGGTTGTCATTCTTTTGTCGACTATATATTGTACGTCAATGATAATTTATTTTTATAAATAAATATAATTAATGATGTAATAATTTTGTGAAATTATATTGTATATGTTTAGGTGTGTAAGTGAAAAGTTAATTGCTTATTGATTAGTATATTTCCGTTTAGATTAAAGTAGATGAAGAATTTTTTTTATTTGATATTGCAAATAAGTTGTAACTTGGATTTAGCGAAATGTTTTTCTTTAACAAGTATATTCCCAACACTACTTCTGTCTGTGGTGGAGTCTTCATTAGAATACGATATTTGGATGGATTCCAGTTAGATTAGTGTAGGTGAGCTCTTTCAAAGCTCTCGTAACTATTATGAACACAAAGAAAAAAATAAAAATGGATGTTATGCCTAAAGGAACAAAAAAGGGATAGCTCAATTCCAAGTAGATATAGAAGTTAAAATGGAGATGGACAAGTGCTAAGTGAAAGCATACTATACTTGAGTCCTATTTTCTCCATTTGGTTGAACTTGGTCCAGATTTATACAAGGATAAATTTGACTACCCCATCACCACAAAACAACATCGTTAAAATTTCAATGCAACATGACATCTTAAAAATATATTATATCATCTATTTGAATCCACTCTATTACAATTGCAAACAATAAAATAAGCATATAAAGGGAGACCTCACAAGATGAAAAAACATAAGAAAATTTT